ATTAGAGTTGTCAGCAGCCTTCATTCTTAGCATGGCTCGTTGTCAAGTGCATGTATTGTACTGATATTTATTTATTGTATTATTTATTATTTCCTTGGCTACCGAGGGGAACATAGGGCTTCAGCGCAACACATCTCCACTTTGTTCTGTTTTCTGCCGTCCTCTTCAGCTGGATCTATGATTGCCTGTAATGTCTCATATCCTCCTTAGCAAACGATACCCTCCATGTCACCCTTGCACCGACGACCCACTCATCGCTTACCATTCGGATCACACTCAAGGGCCTGGCACGCGATGTCATTCGACGGTCTCCTCAACGTATACTCGATCCATCTCCATTTTCTTTCGCATATTTGTTGATCGACCGGCTCTCGCCTGTTGCTTTTTTCCCAGCCAACGTTTCTTGTTGCTAACTCTTTCTAGCTGACTGGCTACCTGATCTTCAGTATGGAGCCAGCGAAAGGGGGCATCTATTGATAAAAGTCTGCCTTATCCTGTTGGAAATATTTTTCGTGACACGCTGGCCAAGTTTCTGACTCGTATAGAAGAACTGACTGATTGACTTCACATTTGTGTTGGAAATACGAATGCTGTTCTTTATTCTGAGGAGGAGTGCAGATGATTTCCAAGATTTTCCGAAGATTCGATCGAGTCCAAATGGCTGAATGGTCTACGAGCTGGCCTTGTAACTGGAAGGTCCTAGGCTCGAATCCTGTGGTGTGGTTGCGTAATGCTTAAGAGTGACAGGATGAAATGCGAAAAACAAACAAGTACATAACGAGATCTGGAGACTGTTAGAACTAGTTTTGTTTTTGTTTTTTAACCTCAGTCGTAGTCCTTGCTACTGTCTCCGAAAACTTGTGTGTTATTCATTACTTAGGTGAATGGTAAAGTTAAAGAATAGGCTAAGCAAGGAATGGGGGCGCACAACTGACCTTGAGGTGACCAATCAGAATAACTGGTGTTTTTTTCTACATAGAAATGCCGTTTATATTAAGTAGACAAACACAGATAACAAAAATAAAACACCCTAACCCTAACCTTTGTTACGAACGAAACGGACTCGTTGTCTTCTGAACCCAGGAAACTGGTCTCTGCGTCCTAAAGTACAGTTATACAATAGTCAGAAAACGCTCCAAAGACAGGAAAAAGACGATTGTTCCTGGTTGAAATCTCGGTGTAGTTCTATTCAACATTCTGTCTGTCTGTCTGTCTGTCTGGATTCAACATAGAACTTAGCATCGAAGTGCAGCAGTTCGAGTTGCCACGTTCCAAATAGCACACAAAGGTAGACAAGAAGATGAGTGAAGAGAATCAATACAGTCTGAAAAGTTTAAGAGTGAAACAGAATGGGTAATGGTAGAAAGGAATATGAAAGATTACAGAGACTGAATACATCTGCTCTGGCCATTGACAACGATTTTGAGCCATGTCACCTATTGTCTCCAGCCATTGATTCCTAGAGTCCCGAGGGCCCCAACCCGGGAGTCTGGATCTCCCTACGTGACTCAGTTTAACTGTCAAGGATTTCATGGATTGATGAGGCCATGTTTTTGTTTGGCCACCACTGGCTCTTTTCCAACCTGAACCTATATCAGCTAGCAATGCCCGTCGGGGGAGGCGACGGTTAGGCATGCGCAGCACGTGACCTAGCCATCTTAGTCTATGTAACTTTATAGCCTCGTCGATTGATTTTCCGTCTTTGCCCAACACTCTACGCCTAACGTCAACATTACTTACCTTATTATACCACCTAACGTGAGACAGAGATCACAAACATCTATGATCGAAAGCAGTCAACCTTTTCATGTCTTCAACTCGTATTGGCCATGTTTCAGAGCCATAGAGAAGGACGGAGCGAACTTCTGAGCAGTACACACGTCCCTTGGTTGATAACCGGATGTCACGCCTACGCCAGAGATGGTGTAAGTCAGTGAAAGTAGCTCGAGCTTTTCGGATCCGTGCTGAGATTTCATCGCCAATCAGTCCGTTGGTGCTAATACAACTTCCCAAATAGGTGAAGTGGTCGACATGTTCTATCACTTCACTCCCTATCACTAAGTTAGGAGTTGACGTGGTCCAGTCCTGTAGCAGCAACTTACGTTTTGTAGGGGCGAATCGCATGCCAAACATATGAAGATTGCTGCTCAAGGTGTTCAGAAGACTCTGCATTTTGTCAGCATCCTCCCCTAACAGGACTATGTCATCTGCATATTCTAAGTCCATAAGACTATTCCCTGGTAACGAGTCGATTCCTAAGTCATTACCTCCACTTAAGGATACTTCCATCAGCATATCTATGATGAAGTTAAACAGAAATGGGGAAAGTGGACATCCCTGTCGGACACCACTGGTTGTTACCAATTCAGATGACAATTCCCCATAAGCCCTTACACGACTACGTGAGTTTGAATAGAGTGCCTTGATTAGTGCAATGTACTTTCTTGGCACTCCCTTCACAGCCAGACATTGCCATAGTACCTTTCGATCCACGGAGTCGAAGGCCGCCTTCAAGTCAAGAAATATGACAATTGTTGGAGGCTGAAAATTGTGTCTATGTTCTAGAATCTGTCGAAGAGTGAAGATATGATCTATGCACCCTCTACCTGGTCTAAAGCCTGCTTGATTTTCCCTTGTCTGTTCCTCCCGAGTTCTGCTTAGTCTATGCATGATTACTGAGCCTAGGATTTTAGAGACTATGTTCTTTAGGCTGATCCCCCTATGATTATCACACGAGGACTTGTTTCCCTTCTTGAATATCGGTATAATAAGTGACTTACCCCAGTCTGGTGGCATTGTCTCTGATTCCCACACTTTGCCTAGTACCTCAGTTAATCTACAAACTAGTATGTCACCCCCATATTTAAACACCTCCGGAATAATTCCGTCGGGTCCTGTCGTTTTGCCTCGTTTCAAATTACTGAAAGCTTTTGTGACCTCACTTACGGACGGCGGACCAGTGTCTATATCCCATTCAGGTGTGGGGTGGATGTTGGGGAGTTTCAGTGTAGCTGTACCATAGAATCAAGTAGTAGTAGAATCCTGATATGTATCCACATGATATGTGTGTGTTTGTTTTTGATAGTCTATTATATTTTGCTATGTGTATATGGATCGATATCCCATTATAACTGACAATATGCTTTTGTCTATCCACTAACTAAATAATCATGTATGACCTTGTTATCATACGACATTACAACCAATCATGTTTAGACTGTCTATTTATTGGTTCATGTGTATTAGTCATTTTCATATACACTTTTGTACTGATACTTGTTCCCACGTTTCGTACACTGCGTACCATTTCACTCACACTCTTGTGTGACATTTATTTTCCTTGTCTGGAAAATACAATTATCATCGTAAACCTAGTGGTCTTCTGATTTCCCTCTTTCCGCGTCAGGACTATTCACTACTCGACGAGTACATAGCATAATTGGCGACGGGGAAACTCTAATAACTCACTCAGCAGCAGTACATAACAAATCCCAACAAGAATCACACACACCTACACTTCGTACAGACAGTTCAAGGACGGAGTCACCTTCATTCACTCAAACAAAGCCATATCGTAAAACGACACAGTATCAATGTGTATCACACAAGCACAAAGAGAAGCATTAAAATTACAGATAAGATTAAAAAATGACAAATAATAAGAATCAAATCAACTTGTGATATTATTATTATTATAATTGTTCCCTTGAGTTCCTAGTGGAACATAGGGCTTCAACTACACGTCTCCACTTTCCACTTCTGTCTTCCTTCTGCTGTACTTTTCACCTGCATCCATCCATGTTAGTCTATCTCTTCACAAGATCTCCTCCATGTCACCCTCGCACGGACATCCCACTCGCGGCGCTTCCCTTTCGTCCTGGTTCCACTCAAGCAATGGCCTGACGCGCATGCTATGTCACCTAGCGGCCTCCTCACTCAGTGAGTATCCAATCCATCCATCTCCACTTTCTCCTGCATATTTGTTGGTTGGCGATTGGTTGGTTCTTGTTTTGTTTGTTCCCAGCCAGAGTTTTTTTTTGATTTACAGCTTGATTCCACACTGTATTTTTGGTACAAGTATGGAATTTTCAGCATGGATATCGGTAGCCCAAATTTTGCAGACCGACCATAGATATCAGGTGTGCGTCGGCGGGGGTTCGGACCTGGGACCATGTGCATGGTCGGCGAAAGTTCTAACCACTGTGCCACCGACGCACATGTTGGTGATTCTTTCCGGCCGGGCCATCTGATCTAATCTTCAGTATAGAGCGAAGACAGTGCAAATGTCAAAATAATGCTAAATACAGTCTAGGAGAGCAATAGATAATAATTCCACAGTTAGTTGAAACATCCAAATAAGTATTAAATATGGTGATTTTATCGTTGAGGAGGGAGTTTTCAAACAATTTTTCCGTCACAACTGTAGCCCTAACGAACTATGAAACCATTATCCGAAAAATATTTAAAAACGCAATCAGGATGGAATTTAGCAGCGCCTCAATTCGTGTACAGCGTTATTTGTGGTGTAATGACACAAGACAATAGCCAGGCAACAGATCGTTTATTGAGTTTATTTTATTTATTTAGCTTTTTTGTTAGCAGAGAAGCCTACGTCTTCTGATTGTTTGTTTTTCCGCTGAAGGTTATTCTGTACTGCCTGTGACCCTTTCTTAGAAATTTAAGTCATATATCTGCGAATCGTGTGTTTGTCCACGTTATGTCTGCCGTGATTGGTTGGTGAGTTCCTCAAGGTTAAACTTTGTTATTGTTTTTCCTCATAACACCTTTTCGGAACGTAAACAATGACTTAAATTGTTGTCTATAATTTTGGCTTGAAGATAGCTCTCACCACAGGGGCACTATGATTGTGATGGTGTAGGTTCCGTTATCCCAGGATTACTGGTGTGTTCTAACTTCTTGCTTGTTATTCTTTAACTTGGCCAGGTGAAGAACTTTCTAATCATTCTTATTTTTTTTTTGTGTTTTGTTTTTGTGTTTAGTCGTGCTGTGGAGTATTATCTACAAGATTTATGCGTGTCTCCACAACGTGTCGACACTTGGGCCGCGTTGGGATTGATCTATTCCAGTGATTTGGAACAAATTCTAAATTTGGTAATGTATTATATTGTCTTACTGTGGTTTTTCACCTATTTATATGTTTTTTTCTCCAATAATCATTTGAAAATCACTTTTCTCTATTCCAAAGAGGAGTATGTCCAGGTCGCGTGACACATTAAATCATTGTGTAATTATTGGATGTACGTACTAACGGACATAAGGAGAAGTAAAGAAAAATCTAAGATTCTCTATGCAAGTCTACAATTTTACGGTTACATATCCGATGGATTTGTCATTGATATGCTGCTCTATCATGAAGATAAGGTATTTATTCGACTCAAGTGGAGTTTGACCTTCGAATGGTCCAATTTTGCTTTACTTCATGCCTTGACTTGTTTTTACAACAGACGCTTCATCATCAGTCTAGACGGCATGCTTCATTTTTTTATTAAACTGAGTAGCATGGTTTTGTTTCACATAAAGTACTATGCATTACAAAATGCATAGTCATATTATTTATTATTATGATTATTCTCTTTTGGCTCCGAATGGAACATAGGGCTTCAGCAGGACATCTCCATTTCATCCTGTTCTCTGCATGCAGCCCACTTTAGCTAGCTGCTCGATTTCTTCATCACACGATCTTCTTCATGTCACCATTGGAGTTACAGCCAACTCGTCGTTACGCATGCGAGTTCCACCGGTCCATCTCCATTTTCTTTGTGTGATAGGTCTGTGTGTCTGTTTTCGACATAGAACTTTGCACCGATGTGCACCAGTTCAAGTCGCCACATTCCCTCCTTGTACCACACAAAGCAAGAGAAGAAAGTAGAAGAAATGCATAATAGAGAAAGTAAACAGAGATGTGAGACAAAGGAATAGTAATAACGAAGAACAATATAGATTCATTGGAAATCATAAGTCACAAGTAGTGGATGGATCTGTGTCAGCCATCAATGCGAACGATTTTGAGCCATATCACCAATTGTCTCCAGCGTTCCTTCGTTTTTGTCTTCACGAGGACCCCGACCTGGAAGCCAGTCTACACCTTCCTACGTGGCTTAAAGTAGCTGTTGTGGATTTCATTGACTGGTGAGGTCATGTTTTGGTTTGACCGCCGCTAGCTCTTTTCCGGCCTGACGTCATATCAGCTAACATTGCCCATTGTCGAGGAAGGCGATGACTATGCATACGTAACACATGTCCTAACAATCTCAGTCGATGTAACTTCACAGCCTCGTCGATTGATTTCTCTTTCTTATGTAGCACTCGACTGACGCCTAACCTCAATATTGCTCACCTTATTATACCATTTCACACGGGAGATAGAACGCAGGGACCTATGATCGAAGACAGCTAATCTTTTCATGTCTTCCACTGTCAATGATCATGTCTTACTCACAGCCATAAAGGAGGACGGAGTGGACTGATGAGCAGTACACCCACTTTTTTGGTTGGAAGGCGGATATCACATCTACTCCAGAGATAGCGTAAACTGGTGATAGGTTCGGGTGATGGGTTCTTGATTCGTCCGCTGTACTGCTAGACTTCTCTGTGGCTAATGAATTCTTCAACTTATAGGCAGCCTACAAAATTATAATCGTAGCGATTTAACGAGATTAGCTGCACTTTAAATCATGATAAATGATAACTACAGGTAATTAGGCTTTCGAAAGCGTAGATCAGCAAGTTGATGGTTGTCTGCGACAGCTTTGAGTTGCCAAGCTGTGATTGATTTAATGGATACATGGGGAATGGTTGAAGGTGTAAAATAAAAGTCTGACTCATGGCAGGATTGGACTCCAGGGCTGTAGCTAAGATGTCTAAGATGTTAATTTCTAATTGGAGCACGTGATTTATTATCTGACTAAAACACAAGAAGCCTTTATGGCGTAGGATTCAAATTCTGTGCCCTACCAAACAATGACATTTGATGATCATTAGAATTTATAAATTAGCTGCGGAAGTTTAATTTTTTTAACGGACACTAATTTCTGTATCGCCAATTCTCCTACCTCCATTAATAATCACTGACTCAAATAATCTTTCTTTCCATCTGTTTCTTAACCTCCTCTATAAATGACCTGGTACAACTAAAGGTGGATAGTATTCCCTTTTTCCTCTCGAAATTCTGTCATGTGGCCACGCGTTCATAGTCTGCTTTCACGCGGCAGCGGTGTTCATCACAAAATGTTAAAGGGCAAATTCCAAACACTTGACGCTCATAACTAGACTGTTAAAGATACACGCAGAGAGATGGATAAAACCCTTGATCCCAAATGTATGGTGTATATAGGTTCCAACATCCGATCGGATCGAATGGAGTATAAACCATGGGAACGCTGCTGCACTGCCCTGTGGAACAGATTTCAAGTCAAAGACTTGGGCGGTGACCTTTCACAGCAACCGCGGACTTCTGTCCCAATGAATAGTATCCGGTGACTATCCCAGCCCTTGCATACACTTTAGGGTTTTGTGTAGCTCATCTTTTGATGCCTATAATCTATCAAGTTTATGTTTCAATAGTGATAATAATAATAATATAAAAAACATTGCGAAACCGGTTTGTTTAGTTGTGAGTTGTGTTCGAAACGTCATCCAGTATATAATAATAATACACAAGGATTGGTTTGTAGGGATTTGGTTGATTGGTTACCATTGGGAAACCAATCAACCAAATCCTTACAAACCAATACTTGAATATCAACGGTATGCTCACTAGAGACCAGCCCTATTCAGGTAGGCAGTTACCTGGGGTTCTGGTGAGGAGTCGTGACCTGTAGGGTGCAGCAGGTCGGGTTTGAAGACAAATACTCGCCACTGAAGACATTGGCTAGAGATCGGGTTATATCGTGAATTGGCAGAAGTTAGAATTCATGTACTGGCTGGCCATTGGATCAGGTCTCAGTGGCTTAATGGTCTACGAGCTCGCTAGCCTTGTAACCAGAAGGTCATTGGTTCGAACCGTTGTAGTGGGTGTGTACTGATGAAGAGTCCCAAACTAGGACGAAACAGATGTCCAGTACTCCCGGTTGGCTTTCAATGGTTCTCTGACTAATGTCAGCTCATGATGAAATCCTGTAACCAATAATAATACTGTTTTCACTGTGTGAGTTATACAATAAACAAACTGATGTGTTGTTCCATACTACCTACCATGGCACCCAAGTTCTACACACATTATAATAGTCGGTGGTAAATATTTTCAGCTACATTGTAACTGTTTTCTAAAACTGATTTTAAAATTTTTTTTATTTATTTTAATATTTAAGACCAATTTAAAAACGGAAAGAATTTCAGCTGAAGCTGTTTATCGTTGTCTACGATGTTTTAATATTGCACTACATCTACAACCAGATTCAGTTACTCTGTTAATTGAACGTGGATGCCTAGCGTATCAGTTACATTCATACGCGGCTAGAATTGTTAAAAAGGTTAGTTGATGATTTGATGCCATTATTTATTATTATTCATGATTGTGATTCCTCCTTCTCCTGCTCCACTGATGATGATGATGATGATGATGATGATGATACAATATACACTTGACCAAGATTGGGATCAGCCTCATTATGGTGTATATGGACTTTTATTGAATGAATGTCTTGATATAACCAAGACCTTTGGGGATGGGTGGGTGGTTGGGTGGTAGAATCCACGATGTGCATCTCTCTCTCTATATATTTGGGACTTGTCAGCTGTATGTACTTGTTCTCCAGTGACTAATGGTGTTCTCACCAAGACCTCATTATATTTTGCAAAATATTAAGTTGAAATAGGGACACCTAGCTTGATACAGATATGCTGGTCACGAAAAGCGTTTGTTCACGCCGAAAACCTACACAACAACTAACCTGGAACGTTAGGAGCATTCGTGGTCTCCTCCCTAGCGAACCGCTGAAAAGCTGTGGCACGCTTGATGACACGTTCAAGGCAGGGGAGTTTGGTGTCCACTTGTGATAATCAGGCACATGGCATTGGTCTCCTTGTTCAGGAAACAGGCATACCTCCATCTGGAGGACGTAGAGTCTGAACATTGATGAGTTTTTTGGCTAACACGTACTGATTGGGAACAGCGTCTGTGGCGTCTGTGTCGAGGAAGCCTGTTGTGTTAGTGTGTTTTATTGGCTAAAACGTCTTTGTGTCCAACTTTTTTGTAGCTCTGGCACTGGTATTGTCTATACGAACAGGATTTCACGAAATCCCAAGTACCACAATGCCAACAGAATGATAGAGGTGTCATTTTTTGGCGTCGTTTGGTATTGCATGAATAACTGGTCCGATGGATGTTTGAATTTAGACCAGTGGGGTTTCGGCCAGAGGTTAATGTCTAGGTTTTTAGAGGTCGGGTGAACTGCATAGATTTGAGGACCCCTCTAGCATCCGCATTGGACTAAACTGGTTTTTCGATAAATTCTCATCAATGTTGGAGAATCCAACAACCCCGTGGTCAATATGTTGCCACTTTTTAATGTTTTGCAATATATTGAGTTGAAATAGGAACTCCGAGCTGAATATGACTGCGTCGGTTTCGAATGCCACTTGTCTATGTCAATACAAAAGCTAATTGATCTTTCAGCCCACTTCTTAAGCGTGAGCATACAAAAGGCAAGATGGAAAGTAACAGTAGATTTCTGACCTTTAACCGAGTACTCATCTCTGTAACACATCAGTGTTGACCATTGAACCACGTAAGAAGTAACTTTGAAGTTAATTAGATACTTCTTGATGACATTAGCTTGCAGCGTCGCTCTGTTTATGATGAATTGACAGAAGTTAAAATTCATAGGTCATTGACTCTCGTCGATCATGCACGTGGTTCGGGGTTCGAGCCCACGCCGACGCACACCTGTAATCTATGATCGGCCTGCGAAATTTGTGCCACCGATATCACATGCTGAAAATTCTATACTTGTACCAAAAACACTATGTGGAATCAAGCTATAATAAAAATTAAAGTTAAAAAAAAATGATAGCCATTTATGCGGCGGATACATTCTGTTTTACTTAGAATAACAGATTCGTTATGGGGTGTCAAAATAAATAGTCGTATTTGCGTGACAAACGTGCTAGGCTGAAATCGATTACAAAATATTGTAAAATGGGAGACAATGGTGTTGATTAGTCGTCATAATAGATTTGTAGAGTGTGGGGTAGGAAAAATGGACAAGTCAGTTCAAGGTTATAAAAGGTGTCAGGTGAGTGAGTGGCCAGTACAAAGTGGTATGTGTTAAACAGGAGATAGTAAGACTGCAATGCGAGGTTTATAATGAAATAACGAGTGTGTGAAATGAAACAGGTGGAGGCATATATTGAGGAAAGAGATAATATCACTAATAATAAGTCCGGATAGTATAAATGAAGGGTATAAATTATGACGAATAATAAAAATAACTGTAATAATAATATTTGTAATGATAAGCAAAGGAAAACATCCAAGAGGGTTGAGGGGAAGGGAGCACTCTTGGTGAGAAGAAGAATCATCAGTCCACGTTTGACCACGGTAGGAACAGCGTCTGGACGTGTTCTTTTTGGATACAAAGTTCTGGTTTAGTCGATATTATTGCAACAGCTTCAACCACTCACTTGACATATTTTATAACCTTGAACTGACTTGTCAATTTTCCTACCCCACACTCTACAAATCTATTATGACGACTAATCACCACCATTGTCTCCCATTTTACAATATTTTGTAATCGATTTTAACCTAAAGAACGTTTGTCACACTCAAATACGACTATTTATTTTGACACCCCATAACTAATCTGTTATTCTACGTTGAAAGTGTGTCCATCGCATAACTGTCGATCACTACTGTAACGGCGACAAATATTATATTTGATAATTGTAGGAACCTGAAGAGAAGGATGTATTAAAAAGAATATTCTTCGTTCAGATTGACTTTTAATTCATTATATGGGAATATTTCACACACTGTAACCTAGAGTTTTCTACAGATTTTTTGTTTTGTTTCATTGATTGGAGGATTTCATCATGAGGTGATATGATATCAGTTAGAGAACCATTGGAAAGCAACACTGGAGTATTGGACAGCTGTTTCCTGCATCCTAGTTGGCGACACTTCAGCAGTACACAATATTCAATTAAAGACTGTAATGCAACAGTATTAAAGTTTACTTTTCACATAATTTGTGCATCGGTGGCACAGCGGTTAGCATGCTTGCCGACCATGCAAATGGTCCGGGGTTCGATCCCCGGCCACGGACGCACCCCTTTATCTCGCTTAGCCAGAAATAATTCTGGTTAAAGAGGAAAGATTGGGCATGGGGCTAGCAACCCCATCCTGTAAAAGTAAACACCACTGCTACAGAAACTTCAAGCCACTAGCTTGAAGCCCCATGTTCCACTGGGAACGTGAAGGAAATAAATACTAAAATAAAATAAAATAATTTCACATAATTCTTCTTTTCTCAGTGCTCTTTTTCTTTTTTCTTTTTCTAGTCTGAATACAGAAGTTTTCCAGATGTTCATTTAAATTTATGCCGTAAATGGCGTCATCGTATGCTACAACTGGCGCGTGCTTCATATGAAAATGCTTTAAATCTATGCAGTTCAGCTAAGCATCAAAGAGGTGTTGAAACAGTGAAAGTAGGAAAGTCAACGTTGACGACATCATCATCATCGTCATCGGCAGTCGAACAACAGGACAACAATAAATTGAATCGTTTAGCAGAAAATGATCTAATCGACAGTAATAATAATAATAATAATAATAATAATAAAAACAATAATAAAGCTGATAATAAAACAGCTCAGAGTAAAGAAGAAGAATGGTTATGTCATTATATGCTGGCTAAATGTGCTGAAAAAGATGCCTATTTAATTAAACAATCTGAAGATGTTTATCCATCCTCACGTCTTATGCATGTTCTACGCCTGTATCATGATGCATTGAAAGCTTTAGACTCAGCTGGAGCGAAATATCCTAAAAAGATTATTTTTTATAATAAAATACCTTTTCGAGCTGTTGAAGCCATTGAAGTAAGTCTATATTGTGTTGTGAATATATATATATATATATTCGACATCACTTGATATTTTTCCAAACTGTCTTTATTTTTGTTATAAAGTTAAGGCTCGTTTAGCATACATATATGGCATGCCCACCAATTTACGCCATTTTCGGCGTAGACATGAAATATCCGGTTGGTTATCGACCAAAGGGGGTGGGTGTACTCCTCAGCAGTTCGCTCCATCCTCCTTTATGATTGTGAGCGAGACATTGTCACATTGACAGTGGAAGACATGAAAAGGTTGGCTAGCTAGCTGTCTTTGATCATAAGTGCCTGCGTTCTATCTCCCATATTAAGTGGTGTAATAGAGTAAGCGATATTGAGATTAGGCGGGGAGATCAGTCGTCTGTATGCCTATTTTCGACATAGAACTTTGCACCGATGCGCACCAGTTCAAGTCGCCACACTCCACCCCTTGTTGTAGCACACAAAGCAAAAGAAGAAAGTAAAAAGAAATGCATAATAGAGACAGTAAACAGAGGTGTGAGACAAAGGAATAGTAATAACGAAGAACAATATAGATTCATTGGAAATCATAAGTCACAAGGAGTGGATGCATCTGCACCGGCCAGCCATTGAGAACGACGAGTTTGAGCCATATCACCAATTGTCTTCAGCGTTCCTTCGTTTTTGTCTTCACGAGGACCCCGACCTGGAAGCCAGTCTACACCTTCCTACTTGGCTGGCTGGCTGGATAAACTAGCTGTTCTGAATTTCATTGACTGGTGCGATGTTTTGTTTTGACCGTCGTCAGCTCTTTTCCAGTTTGACCCTTGACGTAACACATGTCCTAACCATCTTAGTCGATGTAACTTGACAGCCTCGTCGATTGATTTCCCCTCCTTACCTAGCACTCAACTGAGGCCTAACCTCAATATTGCTCACCTTATCATACCACTTCACACGGGAGATGGAACGCAGACACCTCTGATCGCAGACAGCTTATCTTTTCATGTATTGCACTCAGTCGACGAGTTTGTGAAGTTACATCGACTTAGTGAGGTGGTTAGGACATGTGTTACGCATGCCTAGTCATACCCTCCCTTCATGGCTAACGTTAGCTGACATAGGGCCGATCAGGTTGCAAAAGAGAGCGCCAGTGGTGGTCAAACCTAGCCTATTATCAGTCAATGAAATCCACAACAGTCGGTATAATTCAGTCAGCCAGCCAGCCCCATAGGGAAGTGTAGGATGCTGTTCTCTTGGGGTCCTCGGGATGGTTAAAGCCCATTGAAGCTGGAGACAATTGATGATACGGCTCAAAATCGTTCTTATTGATGATTGGTACAGATGCATTCACTCTTTTTGAATTATAATATCCAATAAAATTCTGTTGCTCTTCCATATCACTATTGTTTTTGCCTCATATTGTTTGAAATAAAGTGATTATTATTATCTTTCTGTTTATGATCTCTCTTCTCTTACTTTGTGTGCTACATGGAGGGAGAGTTTCAACTTAAACTGCTACATATCTGTGCAAAGTTTGTTGAGTCGAATCGTTCGATTGCGGAACTTCCATTGGCGCTCACTGGACAACATTGTCACCTCTGTCTTCCAGATGAGTTCTTACTAACTTACTGACCACGTTTCAACATGGGACTTTGCACAGTTGTCTAGCAGTTCAAGTATCTAAACAAAGATAGACAAAAAAGAGGATAGAAGATTCAAAATATTGCATGGAGGATTTCACCATGAGTTGACATCAGTTAGAGAACCGCTGGAAAACCAGATGGGAGTACTGGACAGCTGTTTCGTCCTAGTTTGGAAGTCTTCAATATTACGCATTCACCGCCAGGGTTCGAACCCAGGACCCTCTGGTTACAAGGCAAGGTCATAGACCATTGAGCCACTGGGACCCGATTCAATGGTTCTTGAATTCTAACTTCTGCTACTTCACGACATAGCGCGACCATTTCGCATTGTCTTCTTCAATGAGGTACTGCCTCCTATTTAACCAGCTGTTGTACCCTTCTGATCACGGCTTCCCACTAGAACCCGAGGTTCACTGCCTGAATAGGGCCAGTCGCTAGTGACTGATGAAGAATCCCAAACTAGGCTGACGAAACAGCTGTCCAGTACTCCCATCTGGTTTTCCAGTGGTTCTCTAACTGGTATCAACTCATGATGAAATCCTCCATGCAATCAAACAAAAATCCCTATAAAACCAATACCTGGAGATTCAAAATATCTTAGGAAAATGGAGGAGGAGGAAGAGTAGTAACATGGAAAAGTACACTAAGGCTTAATGGGTGTTATATGGGATATGATCAAAAGTGAATGCATCTGAGTGACAGTTTATCCAAAGTATCAGGCTTCTAGGAACCCCCTTGATATTTTTATTTTTCTCTTCTCTCTGTCTATCATTTTCACACCTTCCTAGTCGAATGGATGGATATCCAAATCCTCAGGATGGTCGGGGGTGGGTGTCTTGCGCTGCGGGTTGGCCACCCCTCCATTCACCTCTTGAAATGCTCCCATATGACCGGGCGTCTTACATAGCCTCTCCTGAGGAAGTCCTACTCACTGCCTTCACGTGGCGGAGGTGTTTTTCATCAAAGTGAGAGGGCAAAAGCGGATGCCCGGCGCTCTTCACCGGGTTGACTGTCCATTGGATGACAGTCTAGGGGAGATGGCTAAACCCTGATTCCAAACCTCCAACGACTGGCGTATGAAGCTCACCGGAGTTCACCGGCAGACGTATGGACAAAGGGCTTATTGGATGCCCTGGATGACTGGCCCCATTCAAAAAGGCGAATGAACCGGATTCCAGTCACCGGCTGCCAATGGATAGTGGACTCCCTACTCCACTCCTACTGCCTTGTAGGTCACACTTGGTTGTGTAAAGGCTAGAGCTGCACTCTCAAACAAAGGCCGAGCGATGCTGGGGACATCACTCGTACCCAATTCCCATGAAACTTCATGGTTCATGAAGCCGGCTCATCCTCCCGTAGGAGATAGTCGAAGTAAATCAAAAAAATATCCATAGTTGTTCATGTGAATTGATAAAAATGAATATTTGTCTTCTTATGAAATGCTATTTTTGTGATCATAAATGGAATGATGATGAAAATGGGGAGGGCGGGGGAAGGGATGGGAGTCTGAATCGGTTAATAAAGTATTCATTGTGGTCGGTTCAATCTGTCTTACATCTGAAATAGGTCTTTTGGCCTACACATATATTATAGTGTAAGAGACTAGCTTGATTTTTAATAATAATAATTAATAATTATAATTAAACGATAGAAATGGTGACACCATAAAATTACAGAAAGATGAACGATGAAAGGGTCGATTCACTTTGCTAATTACATAGTAACTTCTTGTATGTTTCACGTCTAACAGTGTCTTCATCACATAAAATACGGGCTAAATACGGTATTGTAGAATTTTTGTACTCAGTGGTACGAGCATATTACTTCTTATATTGACTTCTCGTCCTACCTGATGAGATGCAAGGGGATAGTTGTGAATAAAGTGGGTGCAAGGGGTTTGACAGTACGGCCTTTGTCCATTTTTTACAGGATTATATATGTCTCTTGACTATAATATTGGTGAGCTCACACAGTGGCATACCACAAGCCCTACTCACAGCATTTAATACTCTTCGTAATATGATATAGTCTTTTTTGAGAAGTCCAGGAAAGATTAATGGAGAGCAATAGAGTACAATAGGTAAAATACAGGAGTTTACCATCTGCAGAAGTAAAGGTTGGTTAATACCTGATTGTCTTAACTTTTTATTGTAGAAGGTAAGACGAAACATGTTCTTAGAGATAGATAAGATATGGAATGACCATGAAAGGTTAGATAAAAGAACGAATCCAAGGTATTTAATGCTTGACTTGGTTTCAATTTCTGTGCCATCTATGCTACATGCATCATGGGAACCAACTAGTTCATGTAAGCCATGTCGATGCCTGAAATTAAAGTTAACTGCCTGACATTTGGAAAGATTTAACATAAGACCATTTGACTTAGACCACTTGCTGAGGTCCAACAGAAAGCTATTAAGTTTGGAACTGTCAGACTCGGAAGTGATAGGCAGTGATACAGTCAGATCATCTGCATATTTGACAAAGTTAGTTTCGTTTAGATAAGGCAGCTCGTGTAGCGAGAAAGAAAAAAGAAAAGGAGAGAGGATGGCACCTTGAGGAACACCGGCTTTTGTAAGCGAGGAAGAAGAAGATTTGCCATTATATACAGTATACTGCATTCTGTCAGAAAAATAGGAATGCAACCAACTCTTAGCCCAGGATCCTGTTTGTGTCAACGAAAGTTTATTTAATAAAAGGCTCCTAGGTACGGAGTCAAAAGCAGATGTGTAGTCTCGGGAAGAACCACGAACATATTTGGCACCTTTGTCTAAAAAAAGAAACAACTTTATGATATAAGACAACCACAGCATCCAAGGTACGTCTACCATGTTTATATGCAAATTGTTTAGGATCATTAAAAGGTTTCAATGCGGGTTCAAGACGAAGTAAAAGTAATTTTTCTATCAATTTTAAAAAAGGAGATGGTGAAGACACTGTCACAACAAATAAATATTCCATCCATCCATCCACCCATCCATAGAGTGTTCTAAAGGCTTACTTCACACATTGAAGTTAGCACTGGAGATGTTATCTCCATTGGCTTTTATTCTCCTAATAGTCAACTGTTTTGTGTGAATTATAACTTCTGTTTCTTTTTTTCTTCATTTTTTATTTATTTGCTTTCATAAAAGGTTTATTATCGAATTCATGCTTTATCGCTAAAAACTTTGTTGAAATGTGGATCTCCTGTTACATCGACACAATCGAATCATTCTGCTTATCCAATTAATTTGGTAGAACTTGATCAATTTCTCGCTATGATTGATACATCTGAATTTGTTACCAGTGCAAAGAAACCATGGTATTATTATTATTATTTGTGTGTCTTTATATCTCACTTTAAGTTGATTGACTGTTTGTCATTATTTGTAAATTATTCCTTTGGTTTCTGAATGGAACATAAAGCTTCAGTATCACATCTCCATCTTTCTCTATTGTCTGCAGTCTGTTAAAGCCTCCTCGACGAATGCTCATAAGCTTTCATCTCCTCCTCCTACTCACTTGTCTCCCCCTCCCCCATATTTTATTCGGCCCCACGCATCCCAACTCGTCCTTTCCTCTTTTGAGTTCCACTTGAAGCTTTGGTGTGTGTGTGTGTGTGTGTGTGATTTCACTCAACGGTTCCCACAACGTGTACGGTCTACCTGCCTATTTTTTTTCATGTAATTGGGTCTCAGTTGGTTGGTTAACTGCCAGACTTCCTTCTTACGTATCCTTTCATGCCGGCCCTGTGATCTTCTGAGTCAGAATCAACCACAGCTGTTATTGAAAGTCCGTAGTAGACTGTTGGAAATACTCTCCATGACTCTCCTCAAGTCCATGAACTATAATGAAGCACTGACTTGATGAAATTAGTGTTGAAAATCCTCATTTTGTTTTACTTATATGCTGACCGAGTGCAGTAGAGATTTCTAGACTGATTTAGGAGTAATGATTTGTCTTACTATCCCTATTTTGTGACTTTCACATCCTCATATACATGAGATAGTAAATGATGCATGTTGTTTTTGTTGGTGGTAGTCAGTGGGTATCTTCATCGCCTCTGTCTTCTCTATGTTCACTTGAATGAAGAATGCAGTCCAGTCTTCTCTTCTTCTTCTTCTTATACTCCTACCAACTTGTTGGTTTTCTTCTGTAGTTTGTAGTGAGTTTGTATAACACTAGACATATGTCCTTCGAAAATTCGAATTTCTCTAGTTTTCTTGTCGACTCAACATTATTTCTGGCTTCTCACTCTTCTATGGTGATTCGCTGGATCCAGTCCACTACTCGGTCCACAATTGCCAATTTTCTCTCATCTTCTCCTCCAACACTCATGATCTCCTCCATGTCACCCTCGCACCGACGTCCCACTCGTCACTTCCTAATAGGATTTCACTCGAGCAGTGTTTTTTTGTATTGAGCGCGATATCATTCGATGGCCTCCTCAGTGACGCGCGCCCGATCCATCTCCATTTTCTCTAGTTCTAGGTAAACAGGGGAAATCAATCGACGAAGTTGTGAAGTTACAAAGACTGAGATGGTTAGGACATGTGTTACGTATGCCTAGTCATCGCCTCCCTCGACGAGCAATGTTAGCTGACATAGGGTCAGGCTGGAAAAAAGCTAGCGGCGGTCAAACAAAAACTTGGCATCAGTCAATGAAATCCACAACAGTTGGTCTAAGCCAGTCACGTAGGAAGGTGTAGACTTCCAGGCTGGGGTCCTCGGGACGGTAAAACTCTATGGTTGGAAACAATTGGTGACATGGCTCAAACACATCGTTCTCAGTGGCGCAGATGCATCCACTCCCTGTGACTTATGATCTTCAATGAAACTGTTTTGTATTTCTTTATTACTCCTTTGTCTCACACCTCTGCTCACTGTTTCTATTATGCTTTTCTTGTACTTTCTTCTCTTGCTTCGCGTGCTACACGGAATGTGGCGACTTGAACTTCCGCACATTTGTGCAAAGTTCTATGTCGAAAACAGACAGACAGATAGACAGATTTTCTCTTACATATTTGATGAGCAATCTAATTGTTGGTTGGTTTATTCCACTGCAGAGTTTCTTGTTACTAATTCTTTTTAGCCAGTCGGCCATTTGATCTTCATTAGGGAGCCAGCGAAGGTGACAGCTGTTGATAAAAGTCTGTAACTTGTTGGAAATCGTATTCTTGGCATGCAATGCAAGTTTGTGACCTGTATAGAATAACTCACTGACTGACTTGACATTGGTGTTGAAAATCTGAATCTTGTTCTTCACTTTAAGGCGGAGTGCAGAAGATTTCTAAACTGGTTTCAGGTTGATGAAGTTGTATCTTGCCTTTGCGATTCTGACTAGCCTTCATAAATTCATTCATTCCCTCTGTCTGTGGTTCACCTGGAGTCTTGTTTTCACTTCCGGTCTCTTCAGCCAGTTTGTTGGTTTTGACCTACAAGTTTTCCAGTGTGTTTGACATTAAACATAAATCATCCACACGCGAAATCCATATCTTCAAAAGTCTTCTTATCGGTCAAATGTATTCCTCTCTTCTCACTCCCAAGCACAGTTTGCCTCATAAACGAGTGCACCACAACTGCGAGTATCATCATTGATAATAAGCAACTTTGTCTTACTTCTGTATTCACTTCGAACGCCTTACCGAGTTTTCCATTGTGGATCACCTAGCACGTGGCATTGTCGTATAGCCAGCTGCTGAAGGGAATTGAAGCAGTTTCCAGATTACCTCTTCATCAATGCTGTTTGTCGAAGGCGTTTTCAAAGTCGATGAAGTTGAGGTGGAGATTGGTGGAAATGAAACACAGTCACTGTTGAGGAGTTTCTCATTGGGCTAAATACTCATTTTTGCAGCCAGTAGGTTGATTTTTCGATTAATAGTCCACCTTCCGTAAGCTACTGAGTAGTAATATCAGCCTTCACATCGTATATTTGTGGTTTACTGTGCTACATGAAGGATTTATTCTGGGTGACTGATTTCAGACAAATACCAACCACTTAATCCCTGCACTTCACTGCACTTATTTTTTATAAATATTTCGTCTTCCGTAATATTTTATCTTCATCCATACTCCTTAAGCACATTAGCGATTGACAGTAGACTGAGTGACACAATGTTGTCTAAACTGAAGCGTAAACCAATCCCCTATGCTATTTTTCCTTCGTCCCCTTCAGGAAATGCTCGACACTTGGTTGAAAGTTTTGAGACCTAAGGATATAAGTGAATTAATAATGACTGTAGGTAATTAATTTTATTCCTTAAGTAGTGACAGTTTGTAGAGAAATCTCAAGAATAGTTATCGAATGTATTTGGATATGCCGTCACCCGCAATTAGGCTTTTACTCAGGTTTACTCAAAACTTGCAAATCATTAGGTTGTAAACATTTTAAATACCCGCGAGAGTAGAATACACCATTTAATAGATAAAAACAAAGTGGAGAAGAAAAAATATTATTATTATTATTAGCAATGTCATGATGCATGTGTTTTTGGTAGCCCAAGTTTTAAACTCGCCGCTGCATATCTCAAGATGTAGTAAATGTCATTCATGCTTTCGAATATGTATTATGTGCGCATTTCAGTCGAAGAAATCGTAAACGAACCGCTAACATGGCAGGTTTATCTAATAAAACAAATCAATCACAAAAAATAGCCAATCAAATTGGACCTTGTGAAGGTCAAAGCAGTAAACCAATGCAGCAGAATGAATCGGCTACAATGTCAAGAATAAATGATCAATTAGTTGACGTCACAGCATCCAAATCAGGTCAATCGTCTGATATACCCTTAATCTCAGCTACTATTCCCTCACAAGAGGAATTTGTTGATCTTACATCACCTGACCAGCCTTTACAAGAAGATGAAGAAATGGTTAATGTACCGTCGTCTGTTGAATCGTCGATTGATAAACTAAGTAAGTCGGTTTATTTCCCTGTTCCCTTAGAATACGTGAATCTTTCCTCCTCCATAACACATAACTTCACATGTTATTGGCTTTTTTGCTGTCATCTGTCCGAATAACTAGAATTCTAGCGGTTTACTCGCTCTGATTTGGCTCCCTAACTGGATGCACCACTACTGTCGAGCGAAACACAGTTGTCCGGTGTCTAAATCATGTCGAATCTATCTGACCGGCAAGCAGTATTGATTGGTGTGAGCAGTCTCCAATTATTACTCATAATGTAAAAGTGGTTTACATTATGTTCGGGGTCTGAGAACGAATAGATATGTAACTTCAGGAGGATGTTTTCCCTGGGCGGTCAGGACATCAGTTTTGCTGCCTTCCGACTTTAGGGAGGCGGTAGTCCTTGACTGACACTGCAGTCTTCATACGAACTCAACTTCAAACACCACTTGATGAAACAAGTTGTAAACGACTATCCCGAAGGAATTCTCCCCTGGTGACACAGAAGTGATACTCTTTCTGTTTACTTTGACACATGGTTTTAAGGAGTATCATAGTTTAGCGATTCAAACGTTTACCAGATTGCTAATTGATAAGCAGATCTTGTTAGCTATGGGTGTGTGTGTGTGTGGCTTCATGAAAGTAAACTCGATTGAGGTACGGTTTTCATCACGGTCTATTGAAATCATTGTATAAATATACACACTAAGTTCGTGTTCGTATATTTATTTTCACATCCTCAGAAGGTGTATTATTTACTGTTATGACAACAGAATAACGTCTTGCTTCCTTGTTCTTATCCATTGTTAACTGACGTTTTCACTTGCCCATGGTGTTGGTGCTTACCTCTGTAGAGTTACTTACATCCTATGGCATCATCGTGTAAGTAATTCCTAGGTCCGACAGCGTGTGTTTGGACACGATGTATGTCACCTTTCATTGAGTGTAGTCATCTTGAAACACTATGACCTCGATGGCTTGGAAATGTGCTTCGAATGTCATCACATACACTTTCATACCACTCGCTGTTCTCCAGTCCTAGGAAAGAGTGGAGAGGTAGTCAGCGTATGGTGTTGAGCCGAGCCATGGGATGAAGAGCATTTGTGTTGACTTAGTATTCGGCTGTACATTACAACTCCCAGCGTAGATCCCGAGAAGTGACCAGATGTGGCCAAGAATCTCACTTAACGGTAAACTTGCTTCGATTTCCTTTCTGTAAATCACTTGAAGTAATGAATGCTGAGTGATCTTGACAAATATGCTTGCTTACTTTCTGGATGACCTCTCTGATTTACTCTATCCCTATTTTCTTTACATTATTGTTGTTTTATTACTCATTTATAGCACATCTATTGTTGTGCTTGGGGTTGACGTTGAGACCGGGGATTTAGAGTCATTTCACTTAAGTGGTCTGGCATCTAAAGCTATGAGTACTGGGATCGAACCGCAGTGGGAACACCATCACTCACTCACTGGGGAATGTAGACACACTCAGATGATGAGTCCCAAGCAGGACGAAATCCACATCGTGGGTTCCACCGCTTGTCACTATCCATCAATTTAAAACACTATTTCTTTTAAATGGTTTAAAAATTTCTATTTAGTCACTATAAATACTTGGCACTCTGAAAATAGTTCTCATTGAAAATGACCACTGTAAACACTTCATCACAAAATCGATGGAGTCTATACCACCAAAGCCACACACACACACACACACACACACACACACACTGTATGCCTCCTGAAAACTTGTTTGTCTGAATTCGCAATTCAATCACGAGAAATACTAGGTAATACTAGGTTCGACCCATTCATTAAATGAAATCTCCGCAGCTGAAATTCCACTCATTCTTTCTACAAAAGCTACCACTTTTGGCCTTAGTTTGCCTACTCCAATGAAGCTAGAGATGTTCCTATCCAAACATACCATAAGAGGTTCACCCTCTTGGTTTTATATGGAAGAAAAAAAATCCTCCCCCTCACGTGTGCCCTACACGTGGAACACTTGGTTAGTTGAGAACAATGATGGAACTCGCAAACCAACTGTAGGGTCATTTACACATTACGCGGAAATTTCGCCAAAATGTGTATGAATCAAACATCTCCAAACCATAGTATCAATTGTGAAGTGCATATATCAATTGCTGAAATCTACAAACAGAAGTAGTTTGTTCACTCACTGAAGCTACAATGAACCTCATTTTTCCTTTGGGTTGCGAGTTGGACACAAGGATTCGACAGCATATCTCCATTTTTCTCCTGTTCTCTGCAGTACCCTTTAGCTGGCTCCACGATGACCCATAGACTGTCATCTCCACCTTCATGTCACTTTCGAACCAACACTCAACTCGTCATTCGTGTCCCACTCGAGCGATGGCCAGGCACGCGATGTCACCCAATGGTCCCCTCAGTGTGCATGTGTGTGTATCCGACCTGTCTCCATTTTAAAGTGTTGGTTTGTGGTTACAGGATTTCATCATGAGCTGACATCAGTTAGAGAATCATTGGAAAACCTGGGAGTACTGGACAGCTGTTTCGTCAACCCAGTTTGGGACTCTCTAGCAGTACGCAACCACCGGGCCTCGAACCCAGGACCTTGAGGTTACAAGGTCAGCGAACTAGTAGACCATAAGGTCACTGGGACCCGATCCAATGGCCCATGGAATTCTAACTTCTGCCAATTTACGATATAGCCCAACCTCTAGCCGATGTCTTCGGCGAGTATTTGTCCTCACACCCGACCTGCTGCACCCTACTGCTCACGACTTCTCACTAGAAGCCCAGGTATCTACCTACCTGAATAGGGCAAGTCGCTAGTGAGCAGGTTAGAACAACACAGGGTGCATACTAATGAAGGGCCCCAAATTAGGACGAAACAGCTGTCCAGTAATCCATTTGTTTCCGCATACTTTTTGAGTAATGAGTTGTTGGTTGGTTCGTTCCCATAGTTGCTAGTTACAAATTCATTTTGGCTGTTTGATCTTCAATATAGAGCGAAGTTTTATGTTTTTTCTTCATTTTCGACCGCTGCAACTCCTCCTCCTCCTACTATTACTCTACATGACTCTGATCTTTGCTTTACGCTCTTTCAATCATGCCTGAGTTATATTCAGTCCTATCAATTATGTTGCGTTATGTTCTGTCCTATTTATGCTTTCTGAATTGTGCACTTGTTATCTGAAATGTACACGTTTAATGATTCATCTTCGGAAACATTCCTCTCGTTGTAATGACATGTATACTATATATCGGTATATGATTGTATAGCTTGAGAATGATATCGCTAAAAAAAAGAGTAATTCTTCACTGAATACATCTTCTTTATCTTTCAAATAGCTCTATGGGAAAAATGTGTTGATCGATGTCGGTGTGCTTTAGAGCTGGTGTTGCAACGATTACCTTTGCATTATAAGGCAATGTATCGATTGGCTTCAATGTATCTGTATGCTCCGCACTTAACGGTAAGGCAATCGAATGTAAATGTACTTTGTGTCATCTTTTTTTGTTGAAAATTTCTAACATGTGTGTGAACTACTCACACTAATCAGTAGTATATACATCACCATGTGAACTTTGAAGTGTTTCACAATGGGTTATGTAAGATCACTAGTTTCTTTATTGTTATCTTTATACTAGTCAGTTGTTGGTGTTGCGGGGATTTGATTTGTCACAGGTGTTCGATTACGAGTTGATATCAGTTAGAGAAACATTGAAAACCACCAAGTGTACCGAAGAGCCATTTCGTCCTAGTTTTCTGGACTGTTCATCAGAAAACATCCACCAGGGTTCGAACCCGGGACATTTCAGTTACCAGGCGAGCTCATGGGAAGACCTGTGACCAATCAAATCCCTACAAACTGACACCTAATAATTAGTCTGATGCTTACCAGTGACTGGATCTATGCAGGAATTAAGCTGGAGTTCTGATGAGCAGTAGTAACCAGCGGGGTCCACCAAGTCCGCTAAGATAACAGCTACTCACCCATGACTTTGGTTGGTGGTTGAGACAAATGTGGCGGGAATTAGCAGAAGTTGGAATCCATGGATCGTTGTGTCGGTCCCAGTGGTTTTATGGTCCTAGGTTTGAACCCCACGATGACTCCTAGACTGGGGCGAAACAGCTGTTCAGTATTCCCTGGTTTTCCTATGGTTCGTCAACTGATGTCAAATCGTGACTGAACCTGCAGTCTCTAGCGATTTAGCAAATTTGCATAGTCGGCACTTCATTCAGTCGTAATTAAGTGCTGCCACATTTTCAACACAAGCTGTCAGTGGCATTTAGAAGTGTCAGTTAATTATTTTTTATTCCTTCACGTTCTCAGTGGAACATAAGGCTTCAAGCTAGGGCTATACAGTTGCAGTAGCGGTGGTGTTTACTTTTACGGGATAGGGATGCTAACCTAATGCCATACCTTTCCTCTTTACCAGTCTTATAGTAACTGGCTTAGCGAGGTAAAGGAATGCGGTGGCCAGAGAATGAACCCGGAGCCACATGCGTGGTTGGCAGGGATTTTACCTCTGTGCGACTACTGACACACGTCAGTAAATAGAGCAGTGATGTAGGTACATGTATAGCAAAAGTAAATGATCGAAGTAGAAAAGACAAGGGGAATCTGAATTGCATGTACAGCAGTCTTTAAGTTGTGTTGTGCGACTTAAGCTTCTGTTCGACGATGAAACTTTGACCTTCATTGTAAGACATCATCATAGTGTCTATTATAGTAGTGGCAGGGGATACTAACACATGTATAATGCAGCGGGATATTCAAAATTTGGTAATTTCAACAAACAATGGATATTATTTGCTCACTTGACCTTTGTTTATATTTGTCTGTCTTTATCGATCGGTGAGTGTTGTCGTTCTAGTTAGAAGAGTACTCGACAGATTCGTGTACACCTAGGTAGTTGATCGAGTAATGGTGTGAGGAAGAGGTGTCACGCATAAAATTTCCTAATCGTGCGATCAAAGCCAAAGTAGAATACTCAAAGTTGGACTACATCTGGCATCATCATGATGTCAGGTTTTGTTGTCATTGGTTAGGAAACAGTACCACGGATTGATAGAAGCCGGAGCCCTCTGTTTAGGGCTCTTCAACATTGCGCATCCACCAGTGTTCGAATCCAGAACCTTCCAGTTACAAGACAAGCTCGTAGACTATTCAGCCACAGGGACTTGATTCAATGACCCGTGAATTTTTGCTTCTACTAATTCGTTATTTTGGTTTGACCATCAGTCAATATCCTCTGCAAGTATTTGGCCTCTCTGGCCATGATTTCTGATTAGTACTCCAGACAACTTTGTTCTGTAGCCAGTCACTAGGAAGCGATAGTTGGTTTTTAGGGGTTTCCTTTGTTTTGAAGTCTGACCACAGATTGATATCAGTTAGAGAACCATTGAAAACCACCAGGAAGTACTGAACAACCGTTTCGTCATAGTTGGGGACTCCTCGGCGGTACCCATCCCGTCGGGTCCAAAAAAAACCAGGCCCTTCCGAGCATAATGCAAGCATGTGTCCCAATTGAATACATTTCTTAATCTACCTTTCATTATTCTTTTTGCCTTTTCAGAATCCGAATAAAGCACTGGACATTCTATTAGGTCCAGCAGAAGTATCGTCTAAACCATCTTCTACTGCAAATAATAATAGTAATAATAATACTACAAATGCTAGTTCTTCTACGCAAACGAATATTGGAGGTCTTTTTAAAGACAGAAAACAGAATAATTTCTTTTATGTAGGTTGTTTTACTCTGGTGTTGTTGTAACATTATCATTTTATATAATGCCTTCTTATCAGCGGTTTGTTTTTTTGTTGCTAACGGTGAAATATGCGTCAATCGCATATTTACTCTAGACTGCATTCTTTAACCGAAGTTAAATTTCAAAATAATGAATTTATCCAAGCATCAGTTATAGAGAATCATTTAAAACCGAGGAGGGGGGGGGTTGGCTGGACACTTGTTTCATTCTAATCTGGAAGTTATCGACAGTGCTCTCACCCACAACCTCATCATCGAGTGAAACTGGACGAGTCTAGTGTCTAATGACGCATGAATTCTAATTTTTTTCAGTTCACGGAATATTGCTATTGTCAACGAACGCTATGAATGAGAATCTGTCTGACACCCGATATTGAGCTGCAATCTACGAATGTTTGGCATGCGGTTCGCTCTCGCCAAATGTAAGATACTCAGGTTACAGGACTGGACTACACTGACTCCTAGTTTAGAGTAGGGAGTGAAGTGGTAGAGCACGTTGACCGCTTCACTTATTTGGGAAGTACCATCAGCCAGAACCAAGGGGTTGATCTCTGACGAAATATCAGTACACATACAGAGGGATAGTTTCTCATATGCCCGTTTACGCCGTCTCTGGCTTAGTAGACGTGTGATATCCGGCTGGTTGTCGATTAAAGGACGTGTGTAGTGCTCAGCAGCAGTATTCTCCGTCCTCCTTTATAGATGTGGGTGAGACATGGCCATTGAGAGTGGAAGACATAAAAAGACCGACTGGCTGTCTTCGATCATAAGTGTCTACGTTCTATCTCTCGTGTGAAGTGGTATTGAGGTTAGGCGTCGGTCGGGTGCTACGTAAGGAGGGGAAATCAATAGACGAGGCTGTGAAGCTACATCGACTGAGATGGTTAGAACATGTGTTATCCGTGCCTAGCCGTCGATCGCCTTCATTGACGGTCTATGTTAGCTGACATAAGATCGACGAGGTTAAAAAAGGGTTAGTGGTGTTCATAGGAAAACATGGGTTCATCACAACATTTGGTTGAAACCAGCCGCTACGTAGGGAGGTGTAGACTGTTGTTCGCTTGGGGTCGGTGAGTTAGTCGGTTGACACCCTCATAGGTTGCTTATGAAATAATTATAATTCATGTAGATATCAATTTTTTATGGTCAACTTTAAGGAGGTGATTGTATACGTCTGGGTGACGGCAGCACACACAAGAGTATTTGCAAAAGGAATTATGTCCCTATATAGATAAAATACGTCTACCATACGTTAAGATCAGAATTTCCACACATCTTCCATATTGTGCTTCTTTGCCTTCCTTTCATGTTTTCATGTTGTTTCACATGCGTCATTCATCTCTCGTCTCACCATCAAATCCTTCGCTCTTATTTGATATTCTTCCACATAGCATACATATTTATACCTGTGCATGTATACTACTTATAAATCTTGTCAGTAGCCTGCGGTACAATACGATATTTATGTGGATGTTAGTTTAATACATACTGGTGTGGTGCGAGCAGGCTGCTAGCCGATTGGTAGACATTAATCTACGTCAATGTCTAGGTCACTAATATTGGCCGTGAGAAAATATGAACAAGGCTGATTCAACAACCAATCACGGCAAACTTAACGTGGGCAAATATGATTCGCAGATGGATGGCTCCACTTTTCGATGTTACCCGAAACAATCAATCAGAAGCCTGCGTTTGTCTACTTGAATAAGCTATAATAATGTACATGAAGTATATATAAATACGTGTTGATTTCCGTAATAAAACGATCTGTTGCTGGCCCTTGTCCTCTGTTGTTACACTGGTAACTATCATCAACGTGAGTATCCTCTGAAAAAACATACTGAATTCATTCAACAACTCACATAGAGACCCTCTGAAACCTCGGCCGAAGTGAACTTTTAATTGACAGGCTTCTAAAATTCCAGTCATACTTTAAATATAAAGGGGATAGTTTTTTTAATCTAAGTGTTTATTTAATATTTGAGCCAGGTTTGTTTCATTTAGATGAATTACACCGCTCTTCACATTCTCCTGTGTTTGACCTAGAAGCTACTTTGTTGAGCAATTTGACTGCCAATAATAAATTCGCTACACTTCGCTCCATATATATATATATATATATATATATATATATATATTCAAGATCACATGTCCAGAAAGCAGAAGCAACAAGGGACTCTATCAGACAACAAGCCAACCAAATAAACTATTGTCCAAAAATATGCAGATGGAAATGGACTACACAAACACACTGAGGAAACCGTTGAGTGACATCGTGCGACAGACAGTCTAGTGGAACATCATCAATGGATAACGATGATTTGGGCGCCCGAGAGTTAATAATTAGAGGAGATCATATGGAAAGACAATGGGGAATCGTAAGGCCGACTAGAAAATGATTGCAGAAAATACGGCGAAATTGAGATGTGCAACTGGAGTCGTATGTTGCTTTCGGGACCCAATAGGATAATAATAATCGCTTTACAACTTCAGTTGTGTGTTTTCTGTTCCATTAGTTCTGGAAAACTTCGAATACCTTGAATTTTTAAAAATTTTCTTATTCCTTTCCGTCCCCTGTGGAATATAGAACTCCAAGCTTGATCTTTGGAGTTTCGATAGCATTGGCTTTTATTTTTACGTGGTGGGGTCGCTAGTCTCACGCCTAACCCTCCTTCTTCGCCGAGTTTATTATTAGCTAACCAAAGTTTAGGAGTGCGTCGATCAGGGATCGAACCCTGGGCCACGTGAATGGTTGGCAAGCATCCTACCTCTGCACCACTGAAGCCTTAGATATGTTCCTTTTATTCGTTAACGGGATCAGTATTCGTATGACTTATTTTATCTTATCACCCACTCATATATCCTCTTCTTTTCTATTCTCTTTTCTTATTTTTCACCTATTTTAGGGTGTTTGGCGTATACCAACAGCTGATATCGATCGTAGTGGTAATTTTGCTGCTCATATGTATCGTTCTGTTTCGTTAACGCTGTCTCTACTTCATGATCAGGGGATTGGAGACGACTAGTGCATATATTTCATCAGTTGAGAAAGCAACCACCAGAAGAAAAGTTAGTTCGCTTAAGTTAGCTTTAGTTATTTTTGATATAAGAATAAAACTTATGCACTGTGGTACAGTGTAATTCCATTATGGGTAAATTTTGTTTTGATAAAGTCTCACAGTGTTATACAGTAATGTTTACAGATGACTACGTTCCGAGCACAATTTATTGCCACTCATAATCATGTCAAGATAATCACACGACTTCCTAACTTCATTTATATAGTTCCATTATTTTGCATCGCTTGATGTGATTGGTAGTAATATTTTCCATATTTCAGGTATGAGTGATGAATCATTCCTATTGCATGTGTTGGGTGTAGACTCGATGAACAAGCATTCAGTAATCAACCACTCTCGCTCTTCACCTATCTAGATTACTTTTTAGAATTTTAATCCTATCCCACTCTATTGTGTGGTTGTGTGTTAATGCATGCAGTACAATGTAGTGCTGGGCTTTTTTCTAAATTACTTATCTTCTCGGGGTCAACCATTCTTACCTTAGCTAAATTCTTATGTTCTGATAATCTGACTACCCCTGACCTACTAGTTTGACCTATGTAGTTGACTTAACTCACAGTCATTGCAGGGTTTATTTCCAAATTATATTATTTTGTCTAATTGGGTCAACTGGGTCCTGTTCAAGGAGAACAAGGAGAATTAGCTATGATATTAGATTGTAAAATAAAACCAATAGAAGAAGGCAAACTACACACTAGTGTTTATAGAAAACCAACTCATTCTAATAGATATTCAGACTTTAATTCGTCTCATCCTTTAACTGTTAAGGCAGGCTTAGTTAAGTGTTTAACAAACCCAGCAGTGGCACTAAGTAGCACAAAAAAAGACCTAAATGATGAATTAAAACAGATAGAAGAGGCTTTGGTGTTAAATAACTATCCTTTAAAATTCTTGAGGAAGATTGAAAAAGCCCAAAAGAGAAAGAAAAATATTTGTGAAACTAGTAATGCTAATATAAATAAGAGAGAATACAAGTCATCTACAGTTACATCATATAAAGAGGGGACATCTAAGACTCTACGTAGTAGGATCCTAAATAAAGCAGGAATTAGGGTGGCATTTAAACCTACAAACTCATACAGCGACAAGCTCTGTAGGATAAAGGACCCAGTTGACCCAATCAGACAAAATAATATAATTTAGAAATAAACCCTGCAATGACTGTGAGTTAAGTCAACTACATAGGTCAAACTAGTAGGTCAGGGGTGGTTAGATTGTCAGAACATAAGAATTTAGCTAAGGTAAGAATGATTGATCCCGAGAAGATAAGTAATTTAGAAAAAAGCCCAGCACTACATTGTACTGCATGCATTAACACACAACCACACAATAGAGTGGGATAGGATTAAAATTCTAAAAAGTAATCTAGATAGGTGAAGAGCGAGAGTGGTTGATTACTGAATGCTTGTTCATCGAGTCTACACCCAACACATGCAATAGGAATGATTCATCACTCATACCCGAAATATCGAAAATATTACTACCAATCACATCAAGCGATGCAAAATAATGGAACTATATAAATGAAGTTAGGAAGTCGTGTGATTATCTTGACATGATTATGAGTGGCAATAAATAAACATAAAGCTTCAAGCTAGAGTTTTGAAGTTTTCGGTAGCAGCAGCAGCGATGTTAATTTTTGTGGGGGTGAGGTTGCTAGCCCAACACTCTCAACCTTCTCGCTTTGCCGGCCTTACTATCGACTTAGCCGTCACCTAATAAATTTGATGAATTACAGCTACCTATGGTTGTTGAGCAATAATAATTTTATTCGATCGCTTGAGTATTCCATCCTTAGCGAATCAGTATTGGGGTTCGAATCCCTCGTTACCTAGATAAGCAAGCCCTCATCACATAATGAAATGTGGTTCATAGAATAAGCTTTCTTTTCTTTCCTTTTTCTCCCTTTTTTTTATTATAATTTTAGGCGAGGATTTCTTGGTGAAGGTGATCGTGTCTACCTGGCTAGACGAGCGTTTAGTCTTATCCAACCGACACTATTTAATTGGTTAACTCAATTATCCTTAAGTTTAGCGCATAGTCTTAGCCAACAAATTTCAAAGGATAAATCATTAGTCTTTAATTCAGATATATCATCTTTAACAGCCAGTGAATTTATAACTACGGAAACGTTGACTCAGATTTATCGACTTCACTGTGTTTCGTATGCACGTAATTCGTCGACATCATCATCATCCTCATCATCACCGTCTGGTCAGCTGAATTCTTCTTTGAATAGTTTTAATTCAAGTCTTTGCTCACCTACCAGTTCCACTACTACTACGACGACGACAACTGCTACTACTCCTTCTTCTACTCATGCTTCCGCTTCTTCTTCTTCTAATGTACCCGACGTGGCTACTGTCGCGGCAGCTGAAACCTCTGGATATGCATCAGTTCTACAGTTAGCCTATCGATTATGTCCAAAAGTTTGGGTAAGTAAATGTTTGCTTAAGAATCTTAAGAATCTTGTTTAACCAAACAACTACACACCCACTCCTTAAATGTCTTTAGTCAAATAGATTTTTTATTCCTTCACGTTCCCAGCGGACCACAGGGCTTCTACCTAGTGGCTTGAAGTTTCTGTAGCAGTGGTGATTAATTTTACGGGATGAGGTTGCTAGCCAGCCTCATGCCCAGCCTTTCCTCTTTACCAGCTTTATTTCTGGCTTACCCAGACAAAAGAGTACGTCAGTGGTCGTGGATCGAACCTCGGACCATGCGTATGGTTTGCGAGCATCCTAACTGCTGTGCCACGGACGCACTAAGCGCTTCCGCGCCAGGGTTCGAACCCGGACCGCCTGGGTGAAGGCTAGGAACTTAACCGCCAGACAACGCGGGACTAACAAGCAGGGAGTACTGGATAGTCAGCTGTTCTATCCTAGTTTGAGGATCATCGGCAGTGCGCATCTACTGGGGGCTCGAACCCCGGGACTTTCTGGTTACAAGGCAAGCTCGCAAATCATTCAGCCACTGGGACCCAACAATAGTCCAATAGTACTGTCTATATTTTCAGAGAGTGAATATAAATCATTTCAAGATTGTAAATAAATTATTACTTTTTGGCTTAGTACGATAGATACACTCTAGATTGGCGACTTCTTGCAGACTTCGCCTTTTTCAATATCTTAATCTCCATTAAAATGTCGATGTAATTTGTATTGGACAAGATTTTTACAGTATTTTTCAGTTTTATTGCCTTTTGACTTCATTTCAGAAGGTACCCTGAGAGGCAGGGAAGTAGACAAAAGTAGAAAAAGAGGAATGTAGTGAAACTACAGTAGACAGATTGTAACGACATGAATATCTGAAATCAAGATTATCGAGGATATTTAGATTCTGGAGGACGAAGAGGGGAGTATATATATAGATATATAATACACACTATTACTTGGGTCTCCGGTGGAACACAGCGCTTCAGTAACACATCTTCATTTGACTCTGATCTCTGTAGTATCTTTTAGCTTGCTCCACAGTTCCCTATAAACTTTCATTTCTGCCTCATACACGATCTCATCCAAGCCACCTTCAGACGCCTGGACTGCCGTTTATCATTTGAATGTATTGATCATAGGCTTGTCGCATGATGTCACTTAATTATCTTCTCAGTATGTGTCCAATCCATCTCCATTCCGTTCTGTATATATTTATTGGGCGATAGGTTTTAAATTAGAAGGGTCCTTTGTCTGAAATAAAAATTATACTGTTAACTGGAAACAGTGGATAGCTTTGGTTTGATTCCTAATGTATATAGAATTTAGTAAGCCGGATATATGTTCATCAAAAAATATGTGTATTACGCACAGTAGTTGCTAGTAAGACGTGGTTATTGAAAGTGGTAGAAATAATATGGTTAACCATCTTTGACTATAAGTGTGTACGCTCTACCTCCCGTGTTAAGTAGTCTAATATAGTGAGTACTGCTGAGACTAGGCTTAGAATGTTTGGTGAGGAAGGAAAATCAATCAATGCGGTTATGAAACTACATCGATTGAGAAGGCTAAAACACGTATTATTTATGCGTCGCCAAGTTGTGTTAGCTGTCAAAGAATTGGAAAGCAGTTACAACTGATCAGGTCAAAACTTGTCATCAATCCATGAAGTTTAAGTGTTGCTTTGTAGGGATTTGATTGGCTACAGGATTTCATCATAAGCTGACATTAGTTAGAGAACCAATGGAAAACCTGGGAATATTGGACGTCTGTTTCGTCCTCGTTTGGGACTTTTCAGCAGTACCCATCCACTGGGGTTTGAACCCAGAACCTTCTGGTTACAAGGCTAGCGAGCTCGTAGACCATTAAGCCACTGGGACCTGATCCAATGGCCGATGAATTCTAACTTCTACTACTTCCTGGGTTCGAACCCCGGTGGGTGCGTACTGTTGAAGAGTCCCAATCTGGGTCGTAACAGGTTTTTCAGTGGTTCTGTAACTAATGTTGTAACAACAGAAGACAAGGGCTGGCAACAGATCGTTTTATTACGAAAATCAACACGTATTTATATATATTTTATGTGCATTAATAAGGCTTATGCAAGCAGAAAAAGGCAGTCTTCTGATTGGTTGTTTCTCGGAAGTTAAGCAGACAAACACAGTCTTATGATTGGTTGTTTTCGATATTTCTCGGAAAGTAGAGCCATCTATCTGCGAATCATATTTGTCCACATTTAAGTTTGCTGTGATTGGTTGTTGAAACAGCCTTGTTCATATTTTCTCACGGCCCATATTAGTGACCTAGACATTAACGTAGATTAGTGCCAACCAATCGGCTAGCAGCCTGCTCTCACCACACTCGTCCCCCCGTCAAATAGCTTCGTGCGCAGACGTTCCGACCTTCTGGGTGCTACATCCTCTAGTTGAGGATTGTTACTGACCGGCTTGTCCCACTGTACCCATCTTTGGAGCTGACTGGCGTTAACTCGTTTCTGTTTATCACCTCTTCGGATGGTATATACTTGACCCCGTCTTTTTGTGATTGTGTATGGTCCTTCCCACTTTGGAAGGAGTTTCCGTGAACCTAGCCCGCCTCCAACTGTATATCTCCTGTCTCTACACTTCACTTGGTCCCCGACTGCAAAGGTAATGCACTGCGTCCTTTCTTTCATCTGAGACTTGCGACATCACTGCGCTGCTTCCGTATTACATTCTTGACTGCCTCTTTCCTCTCTGCTTTTAATTTCGTCGTACTCCACTTTTGGTGCATGGGCCAGGTCTCATTGTGTACCGGTAATCGTGGTTTTCTACCATACATCAGTTGGAAGGGTGACTTCTTCGTTGTTTCCTGAGTGGTAGCCCGATGTGTTAGTAAAATCAGTGGAAGCTCCGTTTCCCAGTTCCCGCCCTTCGAGGCCAGCCACTCCTTCAGTGTACGGTTGTTTCTCTCCGTTAGGCCATTCGTTTGTGGATGGTATGGGGTCGTTCTGATCCTCTTGATGCCCAGCTGTTGCAAACGGGAAGTAAACTCTTCACTCTCGAAACAGGGACCTTGGTCTGTCAGTATTGTCTTCGGTACGCCGTGGTCTGCAACAATGTGTCTAACTACTGCATCTGTCACGGTTCTTGCACGTTGGTCTGGGATTGCTACGGCGTCTACCCATCGTGTCGCGTGTTCCGTCATCACCAAGAGGTACTGATTACCATTGGATGTCTGAGGAAATGGACCCATGACATCTACGGACCACAAGTCACCTATCGCGGTAACTGGAATCGACTGAAGTGGTGGTCGTATACCGGTCACCTTTCATCAGCTGGCACCGTGGACATCCAAGTACGTATCTTGCTACGTCTTCTCTCATACCTGGCCAGTACATACTTTGTCTTAGGAGGTCGGTCGTTCTGGCCACGCCTGTATGCGCTAGCTGGTGACATTCTTCTATCATGTCGTGGCGCGACGATTGAGGTATGACAGCCAGCCAGCTTCCGTCGTTCTCTCGCCAGGTCAGAGTCCCGTAGGCATTCACTCTGAGTCGATCCCTCTGTCTGAGTAGTGTGGTTAGCTCCTTACTCGCCGTAGTTTGATCCACTTCTATTCCGTTGGTGATCACCTGTATTACTGTATTCAGCGTATCGTCCAACCTCTGCCTACGTGCAAGTCTTAGTGGGTCTTGTTCTACTGCATGCACTCCGTAAGCGACCTCGGGCAACTCAGACTCATCTTCTGGTCTCGATAACAAATCTGCCAAGACATTTTCACTTCCAGGAACGTGTGAGATCGTAAAATCGTACTCCTGAAGACGCAACATCCACCGTGACAACTTCCCCCGTGGGTCTCTCGCTGTCTTCAAAAATTGTAGCGGCTTATGATCAGTTTCGATGTGGAACCGCCGGCCGAGTAAATAAGGTCTCCATTTGTCGACTGCCCATACCATTGCTAAACATTCTTTCTCTATCGTTGAATACTTTCTCTCTGTGAGGGTCAAAACCCTACTGGCATACTCAACGATTCCCTCGTCCTGTCTTAGGACCGCACCTATAGCGTAGTCACTGGCATCTGTGCACACTGTGAACTGTCTTCCTGGCACAGGTAGTTTTAGCGTCATTTGTTGGTGGTCGAGCAGCTGTTTAATTCTGTCGAATGTCCTCTGCGATTCTTCCGACCAAACAAACTTTGGCTCACCTAGTAGCCTGTATAGAGGGGCTGCTATCTCATTGAAGTTCTTCACGAAGCGACTATAAAACGCTGCTCTACCCAAGAATTGTCTCAGTTTTCTCTTTGAATTCGGGGCTGGAATCGTTTTAATCGTCAAAATTTTCTCCGGCAGTGGTTTAATCTCACCATTTCCCACTTTATGTCCCAACAGAGTAACATTCTTTTTGGCTATCTGAGACTTGGTTTTGTTGACGCGTAGTCCAAACTCTTCGATGCGTCGCAGCACGGCTTCTACATGGTTGACGTGATCGTTTTCGTTTTGACTGTATATGACGAGATCATCACCATAAACCTCCACGTTTTTCAAGTTCCTAAGTAATAGCTTCATCAGTCGTCTGAACGTAAACGGTGCACCTGCTAGTCCAAACGGCATGCGTTTAAATCGATATTGTGTCTGACCCACGATGAAAGCCGTCTTATCTCTATCACCTTGTTTTATCGGTATCTGCCAGTATCCTGAGCGAAGATCGAGAACCGAAAACACATTCGCACCTTGTAGGCGATCTAAAGTTTCTACCACTGTTGGCATGGCACACGGTCTTAACTCTGTCATACTGTTTAACTGTCGAAAATCAACACAGAATCTATACTTCCCATTCGCTTTTTTTACTAACAGCACTGGAGAGTTGTACGGGCTATCAGCTTCCTCAATAATGTCATCTTTTAACATCTCTTGCACTTGTCGCTCCACTTCGCCTTCCAGATGACATGGAACTCTTCGCGTTAAAAATGACCTTACTTTCGGATCACTTAACGGAATTTCATGATTCACCTTATCGCAATAACCGTATGGGTCGCCATCTCCAGTGAACAGATGATCGTATTTATTAATTAACTCTGTCACATTGTGTACCGTCGACAGCTTAATCGCTGCTATCTCGCTGGTCTCATACATGTTGATATGCCCGTATTTCGTGATCACCACGTTCGCTTGCGTGTCGATTATGCACCAATCTCACGCAGAAAATCCGCTCCTAATATCGTTCGCTGTAGTTCGGGTACAACAATGAAAGGAAACGTCACCTCGCAGCCACCAACAACGACCGTACAGTTCGATCTACCCGTGATACGCAACACATACCCGCCTACTGTTTGTACTGTCAATGAACACGGGCTAACACTCTTACATAAATTCTTATCTATTAACGACACGGCCGCCCCTGTATCTATCAAACATACTACTTCTCGATCATTCACTCGCAACTTCGAATACAGAGCCCCTTTCTCAATAGCCCCCACTAAGTCTAGGTTCGCCTTTCTGGGCAGTATCTTCTCCAGTGTCCCGGCTTACCGCATTCAAAACACCGGTCTTTTCTATCAGCCAACTTTAACGCCGCCACTTCCCGCTGCAATGCTTCAATTTTCTGCTCATATTCGTTTGGTTTTGGTTGGTCTATAGCGGCTACCGTTGTGCTCAGCAGCTGTCTGGTCACCTTCGCCAGCTCACTAATATCCATCGGCTGCGTTGCGCTAACCAGTTGTAATCGCTGAGAAATGTGGTCTGGGACACTCTCGATGAATTGGGAAGACAGTAACTGCGCTTCTGATTCTTCATCTAAAGTGGGAAGCGCGCGTCGAAGTAGATTAGTCAGTTTCACCGCCAACACTAGCGGGTCTCCATCAGGTCCAAGCTTCATTGACTGGAACTGCTGCATTGCTAGCTGTCTGTCTGTTTCGCTGTCAAACTCGGACACTAGTCGTTCAACCAATTTCTTCCAAGACGCTGTGCCATTTGACCTGTCTACGCTGTCATATGCAGCCTTCGCTCGGCCTCTCAACAGCGTCCCCAGGACAACTGCCTTCGCCGCCTGCTCCTTGATACCCACCAGCTCAGCAACGGCCTCGAAGTCACGTAAGAAGCTCCGTATGTCTCCCTCTTCAAACGCAGCTGGCCACGGGATCTTCATCTTTTTGGAGGCAGCGACACCAAATGTAACAACAGAAGACAAGGGCTGGCAACAGATCGTTTTATTACGAAAATCAACACGTATTTATATATATTTTATGTGCATTAATAAGGCTTATGCAAGCAGAAAAAGGCAGTCTTCTGATTGGTTGTTTCTCGGAAGTTAAGCAGACAAACACAGTCTTATGATTGGTTGTTTTCGATATTTCTGAGAAAGTAGAGCCATCTATCTGCGAATCATATTTGTCCACATTTAAGTTTGCTGTGATTGGTTGTTGAAACAGCCTTGTTCATATTTTCTCACGGCCCATATTAGTGACCTAGACATTAACGTAGATTAGTGTCAACCAATCGGCTAGCAGCTTGCTCTCACCACAATGTCAGCTCATGATGAAATCCTGTTGTCCACGAAGTCTTTGACTGTTAGTTAATGGCACAGACCGCCTAACTGGAATCTACTAGACACTCAGAATCAATGACGCTGTGGTACGCAATCTTTGTAATCTCGCAGACCCTATTAGTCTTTCAAGTATTGGTTTTGTAGGGATTTTGTGTTTGATTCCATGGAGGATTTCATGATCAGCTGACATCAGTTAGAGAACTACTGGAATTTATTTGAAGTTCCCTTTTTTCTCTCTTTTCTCTCTCTTTGTGGGCTGTATGGAATTTGACAATTTGAACTGCTGTAATTAAGTCTAAAGTTCTACTTTAGAACATTCAGTCTAGAAGTTTGTTTCAGTTTTACTGAGGCAAACAGCGTCTTCTTGATTTCTTAAAGGAACAAAATAGAGTGTTACTCAAGGGACTACTGCTATACTTTCTGTAATAATAAATTCATGGGCCATCGACTTGAAAGTTCTACCGGTGAGGTCAATTAGTGTGGGCTACTGAAAAGTCTGAAAGTAGGATGAAACCGACAGATATCAAACAACTCCTTGGTTTCCAATGATTTCCGATGACTGATGATATCAATCCGTGATGAAATTTGAAATCAATGCAACTTGTTTAAATACATTCTCGGCTTGACTCTTCTTAAATTGTCTCCTTCAAGTAGTGACACTGTTGTTAACTCGTTGGATTTTAGCCAATTAGTCTCGGATGCGACTTCATCTTTTATCCTGTTTAAAGTTACCGACAGGATATAATTTAATAGCAAAATTTGTAGTCAGTTGGTGGATAGTGACTGACTCACAATGGAACCAAGGATGAGCACTTCGTCCTGTTTGAGACTTATCAACTAACTGGATATATGCCTGCATTGCTCAGTGAGTCAGAGTGTGTTACCACCGAGAATTTCGTCGTCATTCAAGGTGCCGGCATGTCATCAACCTAAGACCAGGCAATTCAGTCCAATCAGTCGTCGGTGAAATCTAAACTGAATTACAAAATTTGTCCTTCATTGTCACTTTCAACAACTGTGTTTATTTTCTGATGTCTATTTTTCTTTGGTTTTTTTTTTGTTCCTATAGGATTCTCGTGGACCTTTAGTTCCACTGGATTGGATTTTGAAAAGGTGTAACGAAATAAGTGTGACGAAATCTCAGCGAGAGGAATACCAGAGAGTTCAGATGTAATAAGTAAAACCTAATCAAATCTATACTTATATCTATAGCTTTGATCATCATATTTTGAGATTATTATTATTGTGTTTTTTCCCTCACAATAACTGTTTGAAATATACTTCTTCAATGTGTTAGTGATGGTAAAATTTTAAAAAATTTCATTGTTTTTTTGTACATATATGTTTATAAAAAACTGTGTTTCATAGTCTTCTTCTGGGTTACGTCACTTCGATTTCAGACATTTCGTCACCAAATCAGTTGACTTCGTCAATAGTATTAACATTATTTTTATTATTATTACTACGTTATTGCATGGAGGATTTCATCATGAACTGACATCACTTAGGGAACCACTGGGAGTACTGGACAGCCGTTTCGTCCTAGTATGGGACTCTTCACCAGTACGCACCCACTCCAACTTGGTTTGAACCCAGGACCTTCTGGTTACAAGACTAGAGAGCTCGTAAACCATTTAGCCACTGAGACCCAGTCCAATCCTGAAGAGTCCCGGACTAGGACACAACAGCTGTCCAGTACTCCCAGTTGGTTTACCAGTGGTTCTCTAACTGGTGTCAGCTCATGATGAGATCCTCCATGCAATCAAGCACAAAATCCCTACAAAAGCAATACTTGAAAATTAATCTGAGGCTCACTAGTGACTGGTCCTATTCGGGTAGTTAACCTTGGTGGGGTTCTAGTGGGAAGCCGTGACCAGTAGGGTACAGCAGGTTGAAGATGAGACAGTAACTTATCGAAGAAGACATTGCGAAATGGTCGCGCTATGTCGTGATTTGGCAGAAGTTAGAATTCATCGACTGGCCATTGGATAGGGTCCAAATGGCTCAATGGTCTACGAGCTCGGTAGCCTTGTAACCAGAAGGTCCTTGGTTCGACCCCATGTGATGGGTGCGTACTGATAAAGAGTCCCAAACCATGATGAAGGAGACAACTGTCCAATCCTCCCGGGTTTTCCCCAGTGGTTCTCTAGTTGATGTCGGCTCATGATGAGATGCTCCATGCAATCAAACAGATTCCCGGAAAACCAATACTTGAATATTATAACCTTAGTTTCTGCAGTTCGTCTTTAGCTTACTTCGTGATTGTCCATTAGGTCTCGATTCCTCGATTTCACCCTTGGACTCACGCCTAACTTGTCATCTGCGGTTACGGTTCCTTTCGAAAGACTGCTGTTTAGGATGTTACTTAACCGTCTCCTCAGCGTTTGTCCGACTTATCACCATTTTTTTTCAGAATATTTTTGTCAGTTGATTGATATAGTGTCACCCCATAGATTACAACTAGGAGATAAGATATGAGCCGCTTATTTTGCTGACAACATAGTAATTCATTAATTGCACGCTCTACATTGTCTCTGTCACATAGAAAACGGGCGAAATATATGTTATTGTGTAGTACCTATACTTGGTAGTACGAGCATATAATCCATATTATCCTCCTACCTGATGAGATGCAAGGCAGGCAGAGTTGATAACGAAGGGGGGTGTTGAATGTGTCAGACATTATGGATTTAGACAATTTCTCACATGAGTTATTCAGGTGTCTATCAACTAATGTAGCGACAAGCTGACTAAGATGCACGTCACTTGCACAACTGTGGCGACTTTTAGTATCTTTTTTTTTCCAAATGATATAGTCCTTTTTTACTTGCCCAGCAGGAAATACTAAGGTCAGTGGAGCAGTGAAGTATGATAGGAAAGATACACAAGTTAACAAATTGTCAAAGCAGAGTTGAGTGATATTTTGTTTGGATACTAGTAACTAGTGTGATGTGTCTAGTCCTTTCTCTGGTGCAGACTGAATTCTATCAGTCAGGATTGCAAAGTGGCCACCATTCCACTAGGTAGCTCATCATCTTGGTGCGCTGTGAATTGTTGGTATTAGATGGTTGGAGGCAATCGGCCATAGGAAGCTTTGGATCTAGGTTTCGTACCAGTTGGTACTCGTTAGCAAGACGTACCTATAACCTTGAAGGAACTCATGTCCCTTCTGAGATTCGAACCCGCGTCCTTCAGTTTTGCAGTCAGAGACGTTTTATAGAATTCAGTCTGCACCAAAGAAACGACTAGACACATCACACTAGTTACTAGTGTCCAATCAAAGTATCCAATGCAGTCCTACAGGAGGTTGATTGCCAGCCCGAATAACTCAGTGGTACCGTCTCTGACTGCAGGCGGTACTGAGTGACGTGGGTTCGGATCTCAGAAGGGACATGCGTTCCTTCAAGGTTGAAGACACGCCTTGCTGACTGGCGAGTGCCAACTAGCACGAAATATAGGTCAGCCAAGGCTTCCTGTGGCCGATTGCCTCCAACCACCTAATATCATCAGAGTTGAGTGATTCCAGATTGTTTTAGCTTCTTAATCTAGTAGCTTAGATGAAACATCGTCGTAGAGATCGACAAAATGTAGGTTAGACAAAGTAACGTCAGTGTATCTTACTATATTAAGGTGTTTTGTCTCAGACCTAATTTTTAACACAGTCCCTTCTATTCGACGAGCATCGGGTGTACTAACCAGTTGTTGTAGATTGATCGCATTTATATCTGAAGGAGAAGTCAGTGATTTGGTATTTTGAGGGTCTTAATCTAGGACCATTTAGCTTTGACCACTGACTGATGTCCGACAAAAAAGCTACTAAGTTTGCAACAGTTTGATTGGGACTTGACAGGAAGCGAGACGGTTAGATCGTTAGCGTATTTGATGAAGTTGATTTCATTCAAAAGAGGTAGGTCATGTCAGAAGAAAAAAAAAGAGAGAGCAGCACCCTGAAGAACCCCAGCACTTCAGTAACCAAGACAAAAGAAGATTCACTCTTATACGCAGTGTTCGAGAAATCAGAATGCAATCAGTCAACAGGCCAGGATTCAGTCTGTGTAAGTATTCAGTCAAAAGCAGATAATAATAATCATAATGGTAAAGCTTTATTTAAGATAGTATGCGAATATACGGTACAAAAGTTTTCAGCGTATTCAGTTCCAAAGTACTTTTTTCTTCACACAGGATTCACATGTAAAGTAATAATCTGGAGTATATCTTCATTTCGTTGAAGAATTGTACAGCGTATACTTGGGAAGCAAGTTAAATCATCGCGCAAGTTTATGTATAGGTCATTTGATATAACTGGACGATTAAAACAATGATAAATCCAGATGAAACTAAGCATTTTGGAGGAAAGTTATTTCAGTAGCCCAATGATTTAAGAAGATCGAGGAAGGTACAATTTACATATTTGATCACTTTGTCTAAGGAGGAGACAATGTTATGATGTAATGCAGCGGTAGCATCTAAAGTACTTCTGTCCTGCCCATAAACAAACTATTTGAAATCGTTAAAATTTTTTAAAGAGGGTACAGGGTTGAATAAGGATGATTTTTTCATTAATTTTAAAAAAGGAAAGGTGATTACAATGGGTCCAAATTTAACATTACTACCAGGACCTGATTTAGGTAGAGGGATGATTTTAATGTCTTTCTACGTAACAGGCACAACATCACTGGAAAAGGAAGTATTGAATATGTTTGTAAGTGGGCAACACAAAATATCAGCACATCTCTTGAGAACAACAGCGAGTACACCATCAAGACCTAGGCTCTGGGAAAGTTTTAGATATTTCAAACACCTAAGAGCATCAAAAATGTTAAAACTATGATAGTCACTGACCTTGTTATTTGTTATGTTTGGGATATGGAGATCATATAGAAGACATTTTGAGAGTATTCACAATAACAGACAGGACATTAGTACATTGCTTACCATAACCTGTAATTTCAATTTCCCCATGTTACTGGGAGTTCTACAAGACAAGAAAGAGTCTTTGGTTATAAATGGTGTCCAAACTTTGAATTTCTGATTTAATCCTTTCCAGACCAGATCTGTCTTTAGACTTGGACTGCCGCTCTCTTTTTCTTCGTAGCTTTTTTAGACGAGGTGAAGAGAAACCGTCAAGCCTTTTTTAAATAGCTTTTGTTAAAGTCAGGATACATCGAGGCAGAATTTAGCATAGTCCGTTATATTTGTAATGGTATCATTCGGTGTGTGATCAATAAATAGTTACCAGTTAATGTCACTTAGCATATATCTCTGAATTAATGTCTATTGTCCTGTAAGTAGGATTTCTGTTGAGTTCTTTTGGAAAGGTGTCAGAAGATACTTGAGCGTGACTTGCTATGTATTTTGGGCGGCACACGAATAATACGACGCTCTGAGTTCATTATGGAAGCACGTTTATATGCTTCATACATTCAGATATCATTTGTGAAGGGTAGATCCAGTGATTTGTCAATTCGGGTGGCAAAGTTGACATTATTTACATGGTCAAGTAACTCAAGAAATGAGCAGTCTCAAGAGTAGAAGTCACCAGTGACTATTGACAGAGAATTCTCAAGATGAGTAGCAGCAAATATAGTGAATCCATTAGCGAAATCAGATAGATCTGACGCAAGACAGCTAGCTAGGCGTAACATAAATATTTTGAAATGAAAATGTATTTACACTTTGACAAGTGTTTCAGACGACATTTCACATTCACACAATCAATAAAGTTATTCGAGAATTTTAAAACATAACATACATTGTTTGAAATCTACCACTGGGAATGAATAAAAGTTGCAACTCCATATTTCTTTTTCGAACGAAGTCGGTCTTATCTGTATAATGTGAAATCATTAAGTGCGAGCAGATTATCATAAAACAGCCAAGCTTCTTGTAGTGTGGTTATAGTTGTGTTGTGATAAGTATTAGATAATACATAATCTTATTGAGAAGAGAATGTCACTTTGTACTAGCCACAACTGGAACAGTAGTTCCTTGTAAAGTTGTCCGTTTCAGAGAACACTACTATCCACCGTGATGCTTTTTCTTAGCTTTCTTAGTACGTTGAAAGTCACACAAACGTTTTATGAACTCTGGAGAATATGGGATAAAGATTTGCCGTCATATTTTGATAAGTAAAAAGGATATACGATAAATTCGATGCAGTATGTAGGAGGAATA